TTATTTTCAATAAGCAATCCTGAAAAATATTTGGGAGTGCTTAACTTTTTTCCAGGTGTATATATAACATTAAACAGTTCCCACCATTTACTCTGACTCATTCAGATGTATACTGTATCCTAGCTGTTTGATACTTTCCACACAGTCCAGAGCGTGTGTGGTCTTTGGTGTGCCTTGTCACTTTGCCACAGTTTAACCATTTCACAATTGTTTTTGTTGGATTATAATCTAGTGTAAGCCCACCTATCTTGGTTCTTACCAAAGCAGACACAGTTTCTTGATATAGAAATATACTTGTCCCTATTTTAATGTTACTAAGTTGGCTAAATCCACTTTCACATTCTGCCATTGATGGAAAAAATTGTCAATATAATGTTTACTAGGGGCAAAATAGGTCTTAAGTGCTCAAAATTCTCATTAACAAAGATGCTTTCATATGCATCTGTAACAGGTTTGTTGAGATTTCTAGTAATATACATTTTCAAGTCCAACCATTCTTCCAAGATGTATTCCTTTTCTTTTGATAACAGTGGACAATACAATCTTAATAAGTTCTCAGTTTCTTTATCTCTTTAGTCTTTAAACTCTTCAGAACTATTAGCCACAGATAAAAATTTAAGATGTTGAACAGAGTGTATATTTCTCTTCCAAGATGTTGTATGAAACTCTCTTCCAGGTAAAACTTGCATGTATTTATTGTGTCATAATGTGTCTTCTTTGTCTAAGCATAGTTAATTCCACCCCTCTAAATTCACCATTTTCAGTTTCACTCAGAAATTTTCTATTTTTCCTCACTTTGTTATGTTTACAGATTTTTTTATTGAGTTCATTCACCTCGTTTCCTACTTCAACAATCAGACTTTTCTTCTGTTGAAAAATTGTCTAGTCTATCACAAACTGAAAGAAGGTTAAAAACGCCTATATGTTTTCAATACACTTATGTAGCCCTTTCCTTTCTGTGCTTTGTCATCTTTACCTGTGGTAGCAATGTCCTACAGATGAATGAGTGGTAACTCATAGCTTTTCAAGAAAACTTTCAGTGTTTTGTTCTGGTTGGCTACCAAGTATATTTCTTGAACATCAAGTGCTTTAATTCTTTATCCAATGAAACTGCAATTTTGTAAAGTTCTTTCCCATGTTTTGTTGAATAATAATAATACAGCTTGAATATGCCTTTCAACACATTCTCATATTCATCGAGATACCCACAGTTCTTTTTAGTATCACAAACTGGTAGCTCTCAGTTGTGTGCTATGCAGTGAATTACTGCAATATAATTGTTTAAATGTTCACGTACTGTGTCCATAAATAATTACAGCACCTGATGTTTTCCCAAGATTCTCATCTATATTTATTCTGACTATCTTTTCACCAAGACTTTCTAGTGTAATTCCTGCAGGTTCAAATCCCTTCAGAATTCACTCTTTTTTTTCTTTTACTCCAACTGCATGCCCATGATCAAGTGACACTATATCAGCTAGTTTGGTTTTTAGTTCACCAATTTGCTCCATATACTATATATAAACTAATTCCTGTTTAATTATTTTTTTTTTGTCTGTTGATACATTTCTGAGGATGCTAACAAACCTGGCCTTTCTTACATTTTTCAAAACCTCTGAAATGCTTATACAGCAATTTCTACAGGTCTTATCATTAAAATAGTTTGCCTCTACTTCAGTATAATTTTTGTTTAATTTGGTTTATATATCTCTATTCCATTTTCTAGACTACTAAGAATATGAATATGTAGACAGTAATGACTTTGTTGCTAGGAAACAAGACCAAATTATGCAAGGCACACACACATGCTATCTCATTGGTCAGACCCTAGTCAAAACCAAGTTGCAATAGACATCTGCTTAAAACCTTTTTATAATTATAGAGATTACTTTGTTTAAAAATTGATCATTATATAATTTTTTGTCTGTGATAGATGTGGAATTTATTTTTAGACATTGTTTTTTATGGAAGATACAAAAGATTTTTAAAATTATATCTTTTAGTACATATATTTAACAGTGAAAATATTTGGGGCGTGAGGGGTAGGAAAAAGCAGGTAGGTGCTGAAAATTTTGTTGGGGTCGCCAGAGAAAATTCCTTGTGACAAATCAGATTTCAGCTTTAAATTATCCAGGTTTTTTCAATCATAGTTAATTGTTAAAATACACACACAATAGCACCTACCAAATGTGAATATATACACCTGGAAAAAAGTTAAGCACCCCCAAATATTTTTCAGGA